CCGCCATCCTCTCTGCTCTCATAATGCACATGCAGAGTAAACATACATGCATGTGCTGTGTGGAGAAGGAAATGAAAGAGAGCAATMGGACCGGGTCAATATGGACCACTGGAGATCCACTCCCTCTCTGCTGTGATTTGCAGAACCTCCCGAATCTGGCCTGACTCGTAGGCAAATATTCAGCRCTGAAAGACAGACGTGATTAACTGTCAGGCACAGCAGAGGTCGTCCTGCAGGCGACGCCGACATCGAGGCAGTTGTTCTGACTCAGACATGTCTGCTGTTCCACAGTGACAGCCTGCAAACGCCACCTGGACCAAAACGCCTAAAACAAACACTAGCTSCAGCGTGACAGGCAACTACATTATACATGTGCTGAGCTGAGTTCCTGAATAGAAGCGTTCAGCACCACGCAGACAAATAAATCTGAGAGAGAAAACAGCTCCATCTCTTTCTCTCTGAGCCAAATGTAATTTCTCTCTTGGCCTTTTGCCTGACAACTGCTGCTGCTGACACTTGATACTTGCTTTTACATTGACTTCAATAAGCGCCCTTCAGCTTCTGCTGTTGAGCCATTAGGCATACAGTGTACTTTCAAAAGCTTACAGATGAATTATATCCCTGGTGTAAAGAATAAAAGCAGCTTCAAGATCACTTAACAACACATCAACCTGTATTTTATCTCTAAACTAAAGAAGAGGATCCTGTTGCTTTTAAAAACATAACTGAAATCCCGTTATTATGAGAGGGGGTGTTAAAATAGTAATAATAAACCTATAAAATACACAACAAGGACTTTTTTAAAATAAAGCATTACTTTGAAATGAGTGTTAGAATTAACATTTGTCTGTCTTCTCTAGCAGAAGTTAATATGCTGTAGTTGTGTTTAAAAATGTTTTATTTTTAAGGTTTTACTTCTCAGGAGTCAGGAAAACATGATAAAATCCTTCCCTGAAGTTAAATGTATGTAACTTTAATGAAACATGAGATATTTTGGAGACACAAACTGTGTGTTCGTTGTGTTTTTAGAAGCTGTTGAGTACTTTAATGTACTTTGTGATCATGAATGTTTCTTATGATTTAAACTAAGATCCATTAGCACGCTCAGATAATGAGTTGAGGATGACTTTCAGCCACACCAAATTTTAGATCAATATTGGTATGATTGACGACGTTAAAGACATTTTTGAATCTGCTTAGGTCAAGTAGCTGTGGCGGCCATCTTGACTTGGCATCACTTTCAAAGATAATCCAGATGTAAGTTCAGGATTTCTGTATTTTTGTTACTTGTTGATCGTTTTTTGAGTTTCTGATTAGGTTTGTTCCCTTTGTGTGTGTGTGGGTTTTATTTATTATTATTWTTTTTTCTATGTTTGGTGACCTGASTTATCAGTTTACATCTGTGGCATCCGTTTAGTTTCCTCAAGCTCAGATTATGTTCAGTTTTGTGTTTTCAGCCACTCTCAGCKTTATTCTTCCTCAGTGTGAGGATGCTGATCCTCGGTCCTGCCACGCCCACTCACACCTGTACCTGGTTCAGCTGTTCCTCGTCTCCTGTTTACCTCACTCCTAATTATTCAGCTCATGTCTCGATGCTAATCATCGTCGGGTCAGGCCGTCCTTGCAAAACAGATATGTGATCTCAATGAATTAGCCTGGTTAAATAATGGTAAATATGTAATAAACAAATTTAAAAATTAAGTAAAATTTTGTTTACAGGAGTGTTTTACTGTGTTTCCATTTGACATCTGGCTGCTTATCCTGTAGATGTTTGAGGACAGTTGTGTCAACTCAACCAGAGTTTGATACAAAACTTTAGCTTTTGTTAGTTTATCGTTAAAGAACAAAAGTCAGATCCCTGGTGCTGTACTGTGGTCACTAAGGAGAAGTGTAATTGAATGTGAGAGGATAATAAATCACTCACTACACCTCAGAAAAATGAGTCCCTCTCACTTCTGAGATGAAGGTAACACCTCTGCAAGTCATATAAGCTAATAATGTCCTTAACACTGGCAGCTATACACTGACTAGATGGTTAGTTTTTTTTACATCTTCCACCCTAAACAAAAATATTTTAAATGAYTGAACAACAATAAGTCAGGGAGCAGCTTTCTAATGTCATTAGAATATTATTGTTTGTGGGACTGTTAGGCTAAGGCTTAATTGTTCTTTTGGCCCTGGACAAATGTGTTAGGCTGTTTATGTGTAGGTGGTTAAGACATGTGGTTTTAAAGAGTTTCACAGTGATGTACACATAAAATTTGATGGGYCTGTCTGGTCCAAAAGGGCAGGACTGCCGCCCCCCCTCACATCTGCCCCTGATGTCGACTGTTTTTCTGTGATCGACTGATACTGGCTCATTGCAGGGTTACACAGTAAGCATGTGTTGTCTGTTGGACATAAATGAGAACTTTTTTCAAAACTGTTTCCAAAAAAAAATAAATAATAAAAAAGGAGTAATTTAGAAATGAAGTGACTCACGTTTGTCCTCCAGAAAACCTTAAATACCCACAACTTAGAATGAAAAGCAGCAGTGAAGCATCACGTTTGTGTAGATCTGTTATTAAATGTGGTATCTGGGGAGCAATGTGAAACTGGAAACTTTCCTGTTTGTAATCTGGACCCAACATTTACAATCACCTGCTGAGCTGTCAAACAAACACAACAGAATAAGTTAAACTGATGGAATATGATCCAAGTAGCACCAGAGATCATATGTGAGGTGAGGACAGGGAGATGAGACAGAAACCACTCTGATGGTGGACTGGAAGCTGAGTTAAAAGTGAAATCAAATGGRAGGGAAAAGCCACAAGTTGTGAAGTAGTTCAGAAGATAAGACATTTTAAAATGCTCAGATGTTTCTATCAGCCAATGAAAYTGATGTGAGAATATAATCTCTGGGCAGACATCATTATGATGTCATGTTGATGTTTTGAAAATAATTTAATCTATGTTGTAATAAATGTTTTGATAGTYCAGGTCACAGCTTTCTGCAGTTTGGGTATGTTGTAGTTGTGGTCTAATGCAAGTCTTATTTATGTTCAAAACCAGGAGCACAGGATTCTGCTGCTGGACCTGAACCTCCTGGAGACACCTGTTGGATCAGATTTGATCCCTTCACCCTGAACTCACCCTGGCTGCTTTGGATGAGTAAGGGTCGTCGAACAAGGCCCAGACTTTGGGCCGGCAAACTTCGCAGCAGCCCCCGGACCTCTCGCTGCAGTCCTCGATGCCGAACCGCCTCGGCGTCTCCCGGTCGTCGTCCGTGTCCTCCGGGTCCGGCGGCTCGAAGATCTCCAGGGCCTCCTCTGCGTCCCGGTGCTGCCGGTAGGTCATCCAGCAGCAGGGCTCCACGTCCGTCTCATCGATCCCCCAGAAGGCGAGCTCCTCCTCGAACAGCGGGCCGCACACGTCGGCCGGGCAGTGCAGCTTGCCGGTGCGGTAGTAGTTCAGCACGTAGGCGAAGATGCCCGGGTGTCGGTCAAAGAAGAACTCGGTGGCGCTCGGGGGCTCGGCGTCCGAGTCCGAGCTGCCCTGCGAGTCCTGCTCGGCCAGCCACGCCAGACGCGTCCCCGGCAGCGTCCTCAGGGTGCTCTTGTAGGTCTCGTGTCGCGTGCCGCCGACATTAATGATGATTTTGTCCGAGTCCTCGCCCCTGGCCATCTCCTCCTTCAGACATGATTTGGACGGAGGTTTGTTTCCTGACTTGCGCCCTCGGTAAGTCGACACGCACACGGAGCTGATCATTTAAAGGCTGGGCGCTCTCCTCCGTCCAACTGTTGAGTCCGCTCGCAGGGGAAATTAATAATAAGATAAATTTTCAAAAATATGAGGAAATGTTCGCCATCATGTCAGAATCCAAGTCCTGATGGGGATCCATGCAGACGAGTTGAAAATGACAGAGGAAATATATTTTAAAAAATCAAAAGCTCCAGAGCGACAAAAGTGAAAACCACCTGTAAGAAAACTCAACCTCCTCCAAACACAATRGGTTCGGCTCAGGCGCTTTTATTCATCCACATTTTGCACCTATTTTTTTTATCCAACAAACCAATTATTTGTTTTTTCCTGTCCGAGATGCCCATAAAATATGTCCAAATTATGTCCTTTTTACGCACAGCTGCACCGGTACGCACCCTTCTCTCCTCCAGATCCAGCACCTCCACAGCAACTACCCCTCAGAACTTTTCTCCTCTCCGCTCGTGAAGGAAAAAACCCCCACAGCGGTTCAGTTTAATCTGAATTTGAAAAGAAAAGATGCTCGGCTCGGCTCGGCTCGCGCGCCCAGATGTGGTTCCGAACATCCCCCCTGGTGACTCGGCCCGAACAACAGGCTGGGTGAGTTAACCCTTTGGCTGCTGAAGGGTGGCGCGTTCCTGCAGCTCGGAGTGCGCGGATCAGGCTGATGATGAAGKGGGGAGAGAGAGGAGAGCAGTAATTGTGTTAATTAGGCCTGATTGTTTGATTCYGTGGCTCTCATTACTGCTGAGGAATTATAGGAAAAACACACTGATGTGACTCCAACACCGGATAATTTAATTTTAATTTCTGCTGCTGAAAATTACATCACAATATGAAAACTATGACTTTTATTATAATCGATTATCACCAGTTGAAAAGTCATTGTTTATTTTAATACTTTTTTATAATAAAAACGATGAATATTGGTGTTCATTTCAAAGGACAATATTTGGTTTGATCCAACAGGTTGCTGCTGAGTCTTGGAGAACAACGTAAGGGTTCCATCTAGTGGATTATTCTGTGAACAACAGGCTAAAGAAGCCAAATAATTCTGCTCTTCATGCGTTTGAATGAAGAGGATTGAAAGACAGAATWACACACGTGTCTGAATGAGTGTTCCTTTGCCTGATTGGCCCATGACTTATTTAGTTTAAATGAAAGCAGCTAATTTTGATGACTTTCTCCAAAATGTAAATGTGATCCTTACATTTTGGGTTTTTCTTGGCTTGGCTTCATTAACAAAGATAGGGTTGGCATTGTCCATTTCACCAGCAGGAATATGTGGCTGATAAGACCTGTTCTGCAGAGACAAACTTTGCCGTACAGCAGTGGCGGAGCATGACTTTCATTGGGGTGGCCAGGACTACTCCAATAGGGGTGGCCAGGAAAATTACTTTTTTTTCCCTTCATGGAAAGTTGCTGGGGATCATTGTCTCTTGGTCATTTCTTTATATCCTTATGTGGAATTTAGAGCCAGACGTATGTATGTGAACAGCATGATGTCTAATTAGACCACATTCCCCCCACCCAAATTGAACTGAATTCTTGTAGATTAGGATCGACCATAGCAAATTGTTTGCACATTGGCTGAAATATGTGGAAATTAGAGCCAAACATACTGTATGTCAATGGCATGATGTCTGATTTTGCCTCACCGCCATGACCACACCTTTCACCAAAAATACATGTGAGATCAACTTATTATCTGTGTTCTGACACAGTTTGTTGCTGATCAGGTCAAGAGGGTATGAGATGGAGCTTTCCAAGCCAAAATTGGTCACTTCATGTTGTCAGGGTGAACCGTTTTCAGCCCATTTACRCTCGGTCAGAAACTGAGTCTCTGTCCGGTCTGGTTAACCGACTCCGGTTAAGCTCCCTGCAGATATTTTCACCCAAATAAAATCTGATTTATGCCAATTCTTTACTTAATTCTGATACATATCTGATATTTTTCAAAGCAACCTCTGTCTGACGCTCGCGTTACATTACATGCATCCGCTTTCTGAGGTCAGGGTGAGCAGATGATCCATGAAATCATAATTTAATAATCATACCAACCTTGTACAGTTTTAATCTTAAAACTCAACATGTCAGCTACGGAACAGAAGTCCAGTTGTTTTGATTTTGTTCTTTTAATTTCCCATTATGTGATGACAGAGAATCCACAACAACAGTTATACTAACATTAGCGTCAGACTTTATCCATTTCAATCTGAGACTCTTTTTCAGAGCTTTCTGTCTGAGCAGTGGTTGCTCCACTCTGTGTGACTGGTTCATACTGGTTTGGCTGGAGGTTCTTTATATTTAGTTTCATAGCGAAATCCAATTCAGTGTCAGAGACGGACATAAAAAGAAGTCAGATTGTTTGACATCTTTGACATCACATAGTAACAGTTGTTTACCTTAGAAACTAAAATTATGATTTTGGGCTCTACTCCATATTCCCCAGAACTGCCATTAAAGAATACAGTTTGTGTCTATTTGATAGATAACCGTAAAACCAATTTAGTGCAGATTGCTCAAAGCCTTAACATGAGAATTTTTGAAGCAATAAATTATGATCARTTATATCGAAAGTAGCCAAGAAGACTTGATACAACACCAACCACATTTTTCTTTTCAATTTCTCTAAGCCCATCAGACATGCAAGTCAATGCTGTTGCTGTGGAGTGAGCTTTTCTGTATGCATGTTGGCAGTTGGACATTAAGTTATTAGTAAATAAATAGTTAATGATTTGTTCATAGGCAAACATTTCCATGTGTACATCAGTGGCCAGTAGGGTGGGCAAAGAGTTCTCTGTGGTGGTCATGGCCACCCCTGGCCACCCCTAGCTCCGCCCCTGCCACGCGGTGAACCAGATTTATTTTTTGTTATGCTTCTCTTGTCAAATAGGTTGGTGGTGCACACAGMCTCAAAAGCTGCCACCACTTTGTTAAGGATGTTACACCAGCTTGTTCTGTCAGCTGTCAAGATGTGAGTGTCGATGTGTGGTTAAAGAAGTCTAGAGAAGGTCCTTGCACCTCTTCTTTGAGGCAACTCTGTTCCGATGTCATACATTATGATTCTTAGAAAAGTTGGTCGTCTTCCATTCTGGACCTGACCAGCTCAGTCATGCTTGGCCTCAGTACTAGTGATCTCTGCCTGCTTGACGACTAAGATTTTGGTTATGTAGATGCTCCAGTGGATGTTAAGGATGGATAAGAGACAATGCTGGTGGAGTGTTCAAGGAGGTGGAGGTGCCTACAGTATGAGGCTTACAGGAGAGTGGTTGGTACCATTGCTCTACATACTGGAACCTTTTTTCCTCAGGTCTTTTTTATGGAGTTCCAAAGGTTAGACTAGCCTACATGAAATGTATACAGGATGTTAATTTTGAAATGTCAATTTTTTTTTAATTTTTATTATCGAAATTCTGAAAAAATGAGTTTATGTTGCTTTTACAGTAATACATACAGTAGTTCTACTGAAACAACAACACAATTCTAGTGAGTAAATAAAGTTTTATTTATAAAGCGTCTTTCACAGAAATATATTCACAAGGTGCTGTACAATCAACAATGTAAGAATGGTRGAAAGATAAAAATGAAACAATAAAATTACACATAAGCAACGTAAAGATACATGGATTAAATTCTAAATTTGTTGATCAGACAYACGGTCAATGCATAGCAAAATATGCAAAGTTATACAAAACATAGAGAATGGGGAGAGACAAAAATATGCCGTATTTTCAAAAATAGAAAACCACACAGTTGGCGAGCATTCACTTTGAGGTAGGCTGACATTAATGGTGAATGGTTAGCTAAAAGCTTGAGTAAAAAAGTGGGTTTTTAGGTGTAGAGACAATGTTGTCAAGGTTGCACAGATTAGCAGGGAGTTCTAGTCCACTTCTTCAATAGTGGGACCTTGAGCGCTGCCTCTAGCTTGGCTGCCGCAGCTTCCTGATGCTGCTCCTTGGTACAGCTTCGTCACGACYGGCTTGCACACCCTCTCCAGTTCCTTTTGCTGATGCTCGTACTCATCCTTCTCAGCGAGTTGGTTGTTCTCCAGCCAAGAAACTGTCTGGTTGCATTTGTCAACAACCATCTTTTTATCCTCGTCACTAATTTTCCCTTTCAGAGCCTCGTCCTCAACACTGCTCTTCATGTGGAAGGCGTAGGACTCCAGAKAATTCTTGGCTGCTATCTTCTCCCTCTGCTTGTCGTCCTCTGCTTTGTACTTGTCTGCGTCTTGCACCATCTTCTCGATCTCGTCTTTGCTGAGGCGGCCCTTGTCGTTGGTGATTGTGATTTTGTTTATTTTGCCAGTGCTTTTGTCCACGGCCGACACATTTAGAATACCGTTGGCATCAATGTCAAAGGTTACCTCGATTTGTGGCACACCTCTAGGAGCTGGTGGGATACCTGTGAGCTCAAACCTCCCAAGCAGATTGTTGTCTTTGGTCATAGCTCTTTCACCTTCGTACACCTGWATCAGTACTCCTGGCTGGTTATCAGAGTACGTGGAGAAGATCTGAGTCTGCTTCGAGGGGATTGTGGTGTTCCGTTTGATAAGAGGCGTCATAACTCCACCTGCGGTTTCGATACCTAAAGAGAGGGGCGCCACATCCAGCAGCAGCAAATCCTGGACGTTCTCYGAAGTGTCGCCCATGAGGATAGCAGCCTGGACCGCAGCACCATAGGCCACTGCTTCATCAGGGTTGATGCTTTTGTTCAGTTCTTTACCATTAAAGAAGTCCTGTAAGAGYTTCTGGATTTTGGGTATTCTTGTGGAACCACCAACCAGGACAATTTCATGGATCTTAGACTTATCCAGCTTGGCATCTTGCAGGGCCTTCTCAACTGGCTCCAGTGTTCCTCTGAAGAGATCYGWGTTGAGCTCCTCAAAACGGGCCCTTGTGATCGAGGTGTAGAAGTCGATACCCTCAAACAGAGAGTCGATCTCAATGTTAGCCTGAGTGCTGGAGGACAAGGTCCTCTTTGCCTTTTCACAGGCTGTCCGCAGCCTCCTYACTGCTCTTTTATTCTGTGAGATGTCTTTTCTGTGYTTTCTTTTAAACTCCTCAACAAAGTGATTGACCATTCGGTTGTCAAAGTCCTCCCCACCAAGGTGTGTGTCCCCAGATGTGGCTTTCACTTCAAATATGCCATTCTCAATGGTCAGGATKGACACATCAAAGGTGCCTCCGCCGAGATCAAAGATGAGCACGTTGCGCTCTCCTCTTTTCCCTTTATCCAGGCCGTAAGCRATGGCTGCTGCTGTGGGTTCGTTGATGATCCTCAGAACGTTCAGTCCAGAGATYACTCCAGCATCTTTGGTGGCTTGCCTCTGTGAGTCGTTGAAATAAGCTGGCACTGTAATGACTGCATTTGACACCTTCTGTCCCAGAAACGCCTCAGCAATCTCTCTCATTTTAACCAAAACCATTGAAGAAATCTCCTCAGGACAAAARTCCTTTGTTTCCCCTTTATATTCTACCCGAACTTTAGGCTTCCCATTGTCACTGACTACCTTGAAAGGCCAGAGTTTTATATCAGACTGGACCACAGGGTCATCAAACTTTCTCCCAATGAGCCGTTTGGCATCAAAGATTGTGTTGGCGGGGTTCAGGGCAACTTGGTTCTTGGCAGCATCTCCAATGAGCCTTTCTGTGTCTGTGAAGGCGACGTAGCTGGGAGTCGTCCTGTTGCCTTGATCGTTGGCGATGATTTCCACCTTTCCGTGCTGGAAAACACCAACACAAGAGTAGGTGGTGCCCAGATCAATACCAATGGCTAATCCTTTTGCTGATGACATCTTGCTTGCTTGGAAACGCCTAAACACATTCAGAAAAAAAAGATGTTAAGAACTATAAACGGTTACTGAAAGTATTTGTGTAAATAATTTATGGAAATTTGTTTAGTGCATCTAAAAACCAAAAAATTCACACTCAAACCAACATTTCATTTCATGAGTAAAATCATTTATTGCATGATAAAATTTTACAAGTTCTAACATTTGCCATTAATTTTTTATTAAAACTGTTAAATAATTTAAGTAACTAATGTAGGCCTAGTTTCAGATGTTTTTAAAGTTTACTGGTTTTATTTTTTTCATTCAGTTTTGAC